GTAATCTATGTATGTCTATACATACATATGTACATACATATTATATACTAGCTTTTGCCCGCGACTTCGTATGCGTGGAATTTAGAATCTATAGATAATATTTTTAATTTTACGGAGACAGTTGAGAATCAAATACCAATAAAAAAGACTGGGATGGATAGGTAAAAACGTTTATTGTTATCCAAAACGAAACAATAAAAACTAAAGAATTTCTTTATATACAACATTTGATGTTCTACCCATATTAGCCATTATAAACAAATTGTCCGAGCTAGTTACGCGTGAGCAAGCAACATATAGTTGTCCGTGTGAGAAACAGTTCGTTCTGAGATCGACACCGGCGGCTCGAAGTGTCTGACCTTGCGACTTGTTGATGGTCATAGCGAAACATACGCTCACGGGAAACTGCACACGTTTAAATTGGAATGGGAAATTGTTTGGAATTAGGGGTATGCGTGGTATGAAAACTACTTCACCAGCTCCACAGCCCGTAAGAATTTCTGCTTCTATAATATTATTTCGAAGCGACATCACTTTAAGGCGGGTTCCATTGCATAACTTTGGAGGGGTTAAGTTCCGAAGCAACATAATCGGAATACCCACTTTCAGGACGATGTTATGCGCAGGGAGTCCGGGGGCAGAAAGAGAATTAAGAAACTCTACTGGATAAGTGGTAGCATCGGTTCGGTCCAAAACTATGTTTATTGACCGGTATATCACCTCGTCTCCTGCAACTTTTTCCAAAATGCTGTGATTTATGGCAGCTGCTTGGTCATTTTTGGGCGTAAGTATTGCTCGCTCGCAAAGCCAAGAATTGTTGTCCTTATGCGTTATTTGAGATACATCTCCATAAACTGAATAAATTAGTTCCTCCACCGAAGGTACAATCTTACAAAGATTCTCTGGTAGGGTTACTAATCCATTCGATTCGGGAAATGAACCTTCGCCGATTTTTAGCAAAGCATCTGAAAATTCTTGCGCACGGGGGTTGCCGCCTAAGTGTGCTCTCATGTTGCGCGTCAGACTCAATTTCTGCACCCGTGGCCAGAGTACGGAGCATTTGAGGCATGCGTTCACCTCATCAGCTCTGGTTCCGCGGGTTATAACGGGTAGAGTCTGACGGAAATCCCCACAAAACAAAACAGTTATTCTTCCCATGATGTGATTGTTTCGTCGGATGTCTTGGAGAGTGCGATTGACTGCTTCCACGGCCTTCTTGTGCGCCATCGTACACTCATCCCAAACGATTAGGCTGCACTCTGCAAGAATCTTCGCCTTTTCACTATTTCGCGATACGGCACAAACTGGGGTTTCATTTATATCGAGGTTCAAGGGTATCTTAAACATAGTGTGGGCAGTTTTGCCTCCAGGGAGTAAAGTGGCAGCAATACCCGATGAGGCGACAGCTAGTGCTATCTTCCCTTGTCGTCTCACTTCAGCTAGTAGTAGTCGAGTCAAAAAGGTTTTGCCTGTACCACCAGGGGCGTCCAAAAAAAATGTTTCGCCATCCTGTTTATTGACACTTGTTAATATTTTGTTATATACAGACTTTTGTTCATCGGTAAGGGTCCCAGAATTATTGTTTACAATTTCGGTCATCGCAGAATAACTGTAATTTGTCTCCGCTGCATACTCTCTACTAACTCGCTGAGCTTCCGTGGTTTCCTGCGGCTCTGGAAGACCGTAATGACTCAAAGGATTGCCACTTATTGAAATAACAATGTCTTGAAGCGACGAAAGACAACGATTAATAACACGCTCATCAGAACCTGCAATACTATCTCCATCAGCTCGCCTAGCCGCGAAGAGAAAGTCTTCTAACAGATGCCGCTGATATTTCTCCCATAGCTGTACAGGATGGGAAAGTCCGCAGAACACTATCATAACTGCAAACAAATGCCGCAGTCGACTGGGAGTTTCACTGACAACGGCCTCTTCAAGAGTTTCAAACCAATTTCGGTCGTCATCTAGCAGACACAGTGCACAGCAAGCTCCGTGAAAGGTAGAATGTTCAACGCCATTGACAGTCTTCAAATATTTATATGAAGTGGCTCCCCTGACTGTGTGCAACAAAAGCCGCAAGTAATAGCACTCACTATTACTTGGATGCACCGTATACACTCGTCCTATTGCGTTCTCGCGATGGACATCTGGAAACCCCTCCACAGGCTGACCGCGTCGGCGTCTATTAAATACTCCTCTTTGTTTATTGTATGTGTAGTAGGACGGTATTTCATTGTACAGGAGCGTTTGTGCAAAACTATCTTGTTGACACAGATTGAAATACGCCAAGAGTGTGGTAGAGGGAGGATTTTCTAGACGTTCCCTTACATTTTCAGGATTAAAATACACCCGCTGCCCGTTTTCCAAATGGACATCTAAATGCATTACAGGAGGATGTCGTTCGTGGATGGAAAAGCCAAGTATTCGCCACACTGCTTCCGAAGTACTTATATAGCGACCTGATTGATATTTGGTCACCTCGTCACGATCACTGCTCTGTAAACCAAATGTCGCTTGGTCGCTTCCCTTATTTACGTACTTGCAGATATACTTTATCGATTCCACGCTAGCGCAGTATTCTACATTCAGATGAGTTTCAAATGCTCGAGAAAGTACTGGCGAATAAGGCACTACCCACCGATTGTCAACTGAAACGTATTGTCCGCGCATATTTACTTCGGCAGTGAAACCGCCATTTTGAGGTGCTCGGCGGCGGTAAGATGGGTATCCATTTTCACCAGTAACAGTTTCGTTTACGAACTTTTTCGGAAACCTCTTCGTACAAAGGCCTTCCTTCATGCAAGGTGAGTTTGTATTGAATGAGCCACATGGGCCATGAATCATGTTGGTTTTGACAATGTTGTGTAGAATGGGATCGGTGTCTGGGTTCGGGATTTCCGCACTAATAACTCGATCAATTTCGTTCGGCCTAATCTTCTCTTCGAGCCATAAAAGGTTGTGCGAATGAGGCAACCCACGCTTTTGCCATTCGATTGAAAACATATAGCAGCGGACCGCTCCGAATAGTTTTTCTTTTGTAAGAAGATATATCAAGCGTTTTTGTTTTAAATGAAACACTCGAGAAATCAAGTCGTGCCTGTCGTATGAAACCTGGCCAGGAAGCAAGTTGTTTTCTATTTCGAGCCATTTAGGATTGGTTGTCATAGTTATAAACAAATCTGCGCCCCCATACTTTCTAACATAGCAAAAGGCGTCTTGAGTTCGCTCGGCCATGTATCTGGGACTACCAGTGAATGTGGAAGGGAGAATTATCATCCTACCTAAGTTTTCTGCATCAGCATCGTGTTGTAACGCATCTCTTAGGTCTATGTAATTTTCCGCACGTAGTTTCTTCTGATTGGCGCGTATGAATACTAATCGTTCAGTTTCAATTTTTGCATATACATCCACTAAAAATTGATTAAAAAGGCCCCGAAACCGGTGTAAGAAGATGTGTTCATTCTCGCGTAATTGGATTAAAAAACTGTAGAACTGCATTGCAGAAGTTTTTTTATTAAAATTCGGAGCACCCGTGCGAGGATCAACATTATATACGCCAAAATTGTATCCGTCTTCACCACGACAAAACATTAAAGGATACTGCAACGAATCATAAGCGCGATGAGTCTCACTGATTCTTTGAAGTCGATCGTCATGAGTGCATATCACAATGTCCCTCCGATCGCAATCCTGGTCGACTAACAGGACAGCGACTTCATTTGTGGTTGGTGCATTATAGCGACCCGGATGTGATCCAATTGGCCTTTTATCAGCAGTAATTACAAACTTGTAATTACTGCACTCGTCATCTGAGACGGATTCAAGTGCCGCTTTAAAGCTGTTGACGTACGGGTTCACATTATGAAGCATATTTTGTAGACTGCTTACCAAACCCGAGTCTAAATTAGGGATATGTTGCTGCCTAATATTTGCTTGCTCTTGGTAATTATCTACAAAGTATATTTGCAGAAACCTTGGAACATCGGTCGGTAACAAAGAGCCGATTAGATGGTAGACTTGACCCTGTATCTTGAAAGTAGGCATAAATGCCCCCCTCAATGATCTGATTTGCTCCAAATGAAGTCATCTGGTATGCACTGTTATAGGCCCGTATATTGCTTAAAAAGTGTTTCGATTGCGGATGTTCTCCATTCAACAATCCTTTCAAAGGTTCTGGTGGTTCTTGTATCCTTTCTAAATGAACTTTGCCAGATGAGCAACACATTCCTTTGGGTTCTCCATCCCACTTCAGGGCACGGCAATGCGCGCATCTTTTGTTCCTTGAGCCAAGATTAGTATTATCGGCATATTTTATTAACGGGTTATAATAAAATGCACTTTTTTCTATTTCTGTCCATTGTAAATCTTCCGAATCGCATACCATGGAAGCATCATCATCGCGAACAGGCAGCCTAAGAACGACATGGCGCATACGGTCTTCCTCTAAGTGCACCATTCGGATGTCAATGTGTTGTGATTGTCGCAGTTCTTGCACACGACTCCTTTCTTCTTCCTGGTGATGAGCGTTAATTTCCTGTCTATCACAGTAACGAATTCGAGAAGCAGATAAACGCAAGTCTCTTTCCTCATGCGTTTCTACAGAACGCGAGATTTCATGTTGCGTGCGATCAGCAGACATACGCGACACCGTTTCCTCATGCGTTTCTACAGAACGTGAGATTTCGTGGCGGATGCGGTCAGCAGACAAACGCGACTCTCTTTCCTCATTTGTTTCTAGAGTGCGCGTGATTTCGTGGCGGGTGCGGTCAGCAGACAAACGCGACACTCTTTCCTCATGCGTTTCTAGAGAGCGCGTGATTTCATGTTGCGTGCGATCAGCAGACAGACGCGACACCCTTTCCTCATGCGTTTCTATAGAACGTGAGGTTTCGTGGCGG